GTACTAGGAATGCTCCGGAAGGAAGGTTGGGCAATCCTACTTCCGTAGTGATACTGCCTCGGAAACCCAAGGAGGGGTCGCTATGAGTCGGGGCCGACTCGACGGCACATAACAACAACAACAACAAGGAATGCTCACAACAGCACTTGGCGTAGTAGAAACTGAAAGCTACCCAAACGTCCATCACCAGCAGGGTGATAAGTAAATTATGGCATATTCCCACAAGGGATACTACGAGAAGCAACATCTACAATTACACCAACCACAAAGGAGAATCTCACACACATAATGGGAGCAAGAGAAGCATTAATAATGAGCTCACCTGGTATGACCACGTTTGTACAAGGTATAAATGTGCAATGAAGAAAATCAAAGATGCATGGAATCAGTTAGTCTGAAGGACTAGTAGACCATATAAATCTCAGCCAACATGACCTTGAGACCCGAAGAACTAGATTGAACCTGGCTACCACTGCCACCCACTCAGAAAGGGATCAAAATTGATCCTCTTTTTTTTTTTCTCCCACTCTATCCAGATCCTGGATAGAGTAGGAGAAATTTGTCAAACAAAATTCAAAATCATAAAAAGAACAGCTTGAGTGGTCTGATAGTAACTGGTGAAACCCCTGAGATTATGGCCCCTGGTCACACTTTGGGTCTGGAATTGAACTCACTCCTGTGGCTTAAATGCTCACAACAGCACTTGGCATAGTAGAAGCTGAAAGCTACCCAAACATCCATCACCAGCAGGATGATAAGTAAATCATGGCATATTCCCACAAGGGATAATACAAGAAGAAACATCTACAATAACACCAACCACAAAGGAGAAAACAACAGACACGCCCATGAGGTGAACGATTACACCACGTAGGGACACTCCTTAGAACAACCAACCATGGGAGGTGAGAAGGGCAGCATTTGTAGGGAGACAGCTCAGAAGGCAGGAACACATAGGAAAAAAGGACACAGGGAAAAGGTAACCACAGGGAAGAAGTGGGAAGAGAGCTGTTACATCGTAGGAATTGCAATCACGGTCACAAAACAAAATGTGTATGAATTGCTGTATGGAAAATGAATTTGCTCTATAAACTTCCACCTAAGTCACAACTGGAAAAAAATAAAAATTCCCCCCATAAAAAACAGGAAAATTAAAAAACTAAGGAACAAATTGGAGAACAAAACATCACTACTGAATGAATAAACTAAAAGTATTTATGAACAGTTTACTAAATCAAACTTACCAACAAATAGAATAGGCTTGACATAATTGCAGAATTTCAGAAGAGTAAACCAAGAAGATGGCAGCAATTACAGAGACGTGAAGGGATACAGAAGATGCAGAGAATCCAACTGAAGGGCAACTGCTATGAAAGGCAATGGCCTCCTTAAGATGTCCCCATCCTGACCCCAAAGCCTGTGAATATGTTACATTACATGACAAAGGGGAACTGATGTCATAAATGGATTTAAGGGTGCTGATGGGGCTGCTCTGAGTCAAAGGCAATGACAATGAGTGTGGATTTTAATCAGCTAACCAGGAGCCCTGGTGGTGCAATGGTGAAGCATTTGGCTGCTAACCAGAAGGCTGGTAGTTTGGACCCACTAGCCACTCCATTCGGAAGGAAGATGAGGCAATCTACTTCCGTAGTGATACTGCCTCAGAAACCCAAGGAGGGGTTGCTATGAGTCGGGTCCGACTCGACGGCCCATAACAACAACAACAACAACAGCCACTCCATGGGAGAAAGATGTGAGTCTGCTTCCATAAAGATTTACAGGCTTAGAAGACTAGAGGGCAGTTCTACTCTGTCCTGTGGTCTCTATGAATTGGAAATGACTGGATGGCAGTGAGTTTCATTTTCTTTGGTTAATTGGCTGACCTTACAGTAGGGGGACTTCCCTGTATGGTCAAGGTGGGCCCAAAGTAATCACAAATGCCTTAGAAGTGGAAGCAGGAGGCTGAAGAGTTGGGGTGATGCCGTAGGAGAAAGGCTCAATGGGCCATTGCTGACTGTGAAGACGGAAGGGGCCCTGGGCCCAGGAATGCAGGGAAGGGGGCTCTGGAAGCTGAAAAGGGCGAGAAACAGATTCCTCCCTGGAGCCTCCAGAACCCAGCACCCTGACACCTTGAAAGATGGTAAATCGACGCTGTTCTCAGCCACTGAACACGTGGTGACTGGTTCCAGCAGCCATCAGACACTCACACAATTGGCATCAAAAGCAGAAACACCAACAAATGTGGCAAAAGATGTTTTAAAGATACAGCAAAGGAAAAGCCTTGGAAATTCAAAGAAATCTGCAAAAATTGCATCGATTCAGGTAGGGTTGCACAGCCAATTACCGTCACTGCTGTCAATAAGCGGACACCTATAAAAAAGTTTGCTTTTTTTTTTTTTAAAAAGTTGAATTGGCAAAAAAGAAATATATCTGCAAATTGAAAATACATGTGTATCAGACAGCCAACTCTGGGACATGGTCTGGCTGAGCTAATGAACTGTCAGGTCAAAAGAAATTTTTCTTCCGAAACTCAGAGAAAAGGCAAATTACTCATGAGGAAAAATCAGGCTGGCTTCAGACTCATGACAGCAAAATTCAACGCTGGAATGGTGGACCAAGGGTCACAAAGTGTTGGGGAAAGGATATAGAACCTAAGAATATTATACCCAGCCAAGATAGTGTTCAAAGATAAAGACAATTGGCAGGCATTCTGAGACGTGAAAAAGCTCAGGAAATACAGTATTCACGAGCCCTTCCTGTAAAAAGGACTGATAATGAAATCTAGCTAATTAAGAGCTACCGTAAGGGCGAGAATCCCAGAAGCATGAGTGGTAAGGACTGGCGGTGAGCACTGAGCCCTTTCCCATGTTGAATTGTCACCAAGGATGAGGATGGGGAGTACAACTACCACCAAAAGAGAGAGTACAAACCTCGGCAATGGGAACAGCAGCCAGACTACAACACTCAGGTGGCAGGTGGAGGAGACAGAGTGCCATGGTGCATGGATCCTCACTTCAATGCCAGAAGCAAACAGTATTGTTTCAAATGGACACGTTTCAAAATCATATGGATTTCAACTTCCTCCTATTTTTCAGTCTCTCATCTCAATTCTAAAGGAGTCTTTTAGTAAAGAGAAAACCCACGTGGGATACATTGATGGTATGGACTCTTCTGCAGTGTCTCCAGCCAAATAGACAACAAAAGATTTCGCAGAGTGTTTTTGTAGCCTGTCGTTTTTACTGAGTTTGCAGAGTGTTTTTGTAGCCTGCTGCTGGTTACTGATTCCAACTCATAGTGAGCCCATGTGTGCACAGAACTGTGTGTGCTTCACGGGGCTTTCAAGGCTGTGACCTTCAGAAGCAGATGGCCAGCCTGTCTTCTGTGATGTTTCTTGGTCCATTCAAACCACCAACCTTTCCACTCATGGTCAAGTACTTAACCACTGGGCCACCATTTTAGCCTAAAACAGACAAAAACTCAGTGCACTGAGTTGATTCTGACTCACAGGAACCCTATAGGAGAGAGTAGAACTGCCCCATAGGGTTTCCAAGACTGTAAATCTTTACAGAAGCAGACTGCCTCATCTTTCTCCCACTGAGTGGCTGGTGGGTCCAACCTCCGACCTTCTGTTAGCAGCCGAATGCTTTAACCACTGCGCCACCACAGCTCCTTTCTTTTTAGCCTAAATCCTAAATTCTGCCAGATAGCTCTCCCTAAGACACCCACATGTCCTGTTGCTTCCCTGCTCAGGAGCCTCAGGCTGGAGGGGCTCTCCCTCCTCCCCAGTGTCCCATGCTCTTCAGAGGTGCCCCGTCCTCCACTGGGCAGACCCGAATCTTCCCCCTCCGTTCTTCACAGCTCAGGTCAAACTGCATCTCCTTGTGATGCCGGGAACCTACAGTCCCACGGACTCCACTGCTTAGAAAGCCCGTGCACTCACAAGGGCAAGGCTTCCTCCTGGAACATACTTCTGTGGGCTGGACTTGTCCTCGTGCCCCAGCCTCTGCCAGCATCCTCAGGTGGGAGCCACCTGAGCTGGCTATGCTCTGCCTCACGGGCTCACAGCCCACCCCCAGTGAAGCTCGGCTCTGAGGGGCGCCTTCCTCAGCTCCAGAAGTCAGGCATGGAGGGCAAACCCTGGACGCAGAGAATGGCAGACTCGCAGCAGCAGGCCCTGTGCTGGAAATGGCCAGAGACCCCACAGAACGGGCAGTCACTGTCCTGCCACAGCCACCCTTGCAGCAAAGAGCGGTAAGCAATCCTGGCCCTTCCCTGGTAGGTAAAGAGCCAGGTGGGTCAGACCGCTGGCCCCACCTCGCCTGGCCCCTCCTCCAGTCTCCCCCAACCAGGCTTCTGCAGACTGCTCTTCACTCTCCCTGCCTCGCTCCTCACGGCCGCGCACCTTCGGGGGCCTGCAGGAGCCAGGTCCCTTAGGCTGCCGCTCTCAAACTTCAGGGCGCCGGAGCCAGGCTGCAGACTCCCTCCCGCCGTTGCTGTGCACAGAGCCGGGGCGGCCCAAGCTGCAGCGCCTCCCAGCGTGGCTCCTTCCTCTGGGGTCAGGGGTCACCAGGGCATCTCTCCCTCCTAGGCCTGTCCGCCAGGCGAAGAGCCCCTCAGACAAACGGGTGTCCTGGAGAGGCCTCGGGACTCATCCTCCTGCGTCCTCCCTCCACGAGACCCCCGCGCGGGGCCACCGGCGGGGTGCCTGCTTCCCCACGCTCCGCTCCAAACGCTCGGACCACGACTGCGGCCCTGACCCCAACCCGGCTCCGGGATGGGGCCGGCTCTCCTGCCTCCGCCCGGGTCCGCGCAGGCCACGCGACCTCGCCAAACGCGTAGCGCGCAGCCTGGCCTCCCTGCGGAGCCCGCCGGCGCCCCTCGTCCAGTCCCCGCGCCCGGGCGCACGTCGGCCGGCCCAGCGCGCACGGTCCCGGCCCCCGGCGGCCGCTCACCGCGGGAAGGAACCCGGGAGTCCGGCCTCGCGCCCCCGGCTCGCCCACCTGCCGGGTGGCCATACGGGGACTCCGCGGCGCCGTCCTGCAGGCTCGCCAGGATCTCGCCCTTGCCCACGTCGCTGTCACCCACCAGCAGGAACTTGAGCAAGAAGTCGTAGGCCCGCACCGGGCTACCCAGGGCGCTCATGGTGCCGCGCTCCGCGCCCCGCGCCATGCCCGGCCCACGCGGAGCAGCGGGACCGGCGGGACGAGGCTCAGCGCCCGCGCCGCCCCCGCCGCGCTGACAGCCCACGGCCCCGCCCCTCTCCGCCATTGGTGCGTGGCAGTTGCTAGGGCTGCTGCGCACGATGACTGGCCGTTCGGCCCCTCCATCTTGGAGTCGTCCCGCCCCCGGGCTGACGCCCTCTAGCTTCTCCCGAGAGGAGGCTGCAGCCGCAACCAATAGCGCTCCGGGGGCGAGGCATAGGCGGGGCCCTGAGGCCAGCAGGGGGCGGGAGGTGCTGCCTTCAACACCAATGGAGAGCCGGGGGCGGGGTCCCGGGACGCAAGGGGCGGGGCTGAGGCGGGGTCCGATGCGACAGGGGCGAGGACGCTGTCCTAGCAGCCAATGGCGAGTGAGAGCCAGGACCCGGGGAGGGGCGGGGCAGGGACCGGGTGTTTACCCTCTGGCGGAAGGGGCAGCCAGGAGATCCAGCTACCGCGGGCCGCTGGGCCCTGAGCCCCTGGGTCCGGGAGGAGGAGGTGACGCGGGACAGGCGTGGGAAAGGGCACAGGGCTCCCCGCCCTTGAGTCACGGCCTCCCCCCTGAGCGGGAGGGGGTGCGGAACGCAAGGGAGGCGGGTTCAGGTGCTTGGGCGAGGGTCGCAGGAGGTGCGATTTTGCGCCCGCCCCCCCAGCGAGAGCTCAGGGGCTGGACTTCGCCTCGCGCCTCTGATGCTCGGTGCCCGCGCTCCTAATCTGCTGTGACCCTTCTGGGGCCCCGCCTGCACGTCCAGCCTCACAGTATGGGAGAGTCGGGAAGCCCTCTGCTCAACTTGCAGGGCTGGCGTTCCACCAGCCCTCTCGGGGTCTGCAGGCTTGAGTGAGTGGTGCTTGGTGCCCTGGGTGGAGAACAATGGCGCCACTCACTCACGTACTCCTCTCCTTCCTCCCTCCCTCCCTCCCTTTCTTCCTTTTTTCTACTCTTCCCACTTCCTCCCTGTGTTTACCGTTTCCATTCGACATTTTTTCCCTGCCTCTTCCTGCCTTCTTAATCCCTGGGCAAATGCTGCCCTTTTGTTCCAGAAGTGTGAGCCTCTCTGGTGTTACTGTTCACCATATAGGCCTGTCTGTCCTTTGGCTGTGAGCTCTGGCGGCGTAGTGTCTAAGACATTTGACTGCTAACCAGAAAATTGGCGGTTCAAACCCACCAGCCACTCCTCAGAAGGAAGAGTGGGCCATCTACTTCCATAGAGATACTATCTTGGAAACCCAAGAAGGGTTGCTAGGAGTCGAATTGACTGGATAGCAGTTTTGAGATACTTTGGCTGAAAGTTGAGTCATTGAGGTGAGTTCAGGCCAGGCTTGAAAGGTGTCTAAGGGCTATAGTCTTAGGGATTCCACCAGTCTCCATCAGATCAGTAAGCTTGGTCTCTTTTTTACGATTTTGAGTTTTGTTCCACATTTGTCTCCCACTCCGTCCAGGCCCTCCTATTGTGATCCCTGTCAGAGCTGTCAGCAGTGGTAGCTGGGCACCATCTAGTTCTTCTGGTTTCATCAGGGTCATAGAGGCTGGGGTTCACGTGGTCCATTAGACCCTTGAATGGATTGTTTACTTGTGTCTTTGATTTTCCTCACTCTTCTTTGCTTTGGACAGAGAGAAACCAATTGTTGCACCTTAGGTATTTGCTCAAAAGCTTTTAAGACCCTAGTCTCTACTTCTCAGAGTAGGATGTAGAACATTATCTTTGTGGACTGTGTTATGCCAATTGACCTTGGTGTCCCCTGAGACCTTGATCCTGCGCCCCCAGGCCATCTCACGTTTTTTTCTGCGTACATAATACTTTTCCATAGTTAAGATCGTATTTTACGTACAATTTTTGGAGTGCTATGTTACTGAACAGGAGCTCTGGTAGCATAGTGCCTAAGGCACTTGACTGCTAACCAGAAGGCCGGCAGTTCAAATCCACCAGCCACTCCTCGGAAGGAAGCTGGGGCAATCTACTTCCGTAGTGATACTGCCTCGGAAACCCAAGGAGGGGTTGCTATGAGTTGGGTCCGACTCGACGGCACACAACAACAACAACCACGTTACTAAACATATCATAACATTATTCCATACCATAAACACTGTTTCCAAACATCACTTTAATTGGCTGCTTCTTTTGGGGGTATGTCAAATTTTAAACTACTGTGCTCAGGAGGGCAAACTATTTCTATAATGTTGGAGATAAGGCTTTTGTTTTCTGCTTTTCACTAATAACTTCTTTTAGTTAACATTGCAGTGAATTCTCAAACCCAGCAGAGAAGTAGAGAGTGTAGTGGGAGGGACAGTTGATGTCAGAATTGGTAAAAAAAATTGGAGGGAGGAGGTGTGTCTGACTTCTGCCAGATAGGAATTAGCCTCGGGCTGTTGATCTTCGTTTTCCCTCCCACTTGTGAAGTTAGAGGAGGTCAGACGCCTGCCACCTCCTTACAATGCTTCTGACTGGGCTCGAACTGCCAACCTTTGAGCTTATAGTTGAGCGTTTAACCATTTGTGTCACCCAGGGACTCCCAAAAACAGCTCTAAAACAATAACATTAAAAAAAATATATTGTGATTTGGGTGAAAGTTTACAGAGTAAATTCATCGTCCATACAACAGTTCACATATATTTTGTCTCAAAAGTGTGTATTTTTAAAAAGCAACCTTGGCACTGGGCCCTGACTATCCATAAAGCTCCTGGACCCCAATACAGCCTTCCGGTCTTCTGATTGTCTCATTGCTTCAAGGGGCAGAGATCCTGATTGTTCTCTGCTCTGTAAAGCCTTTGCCCTGCCTGACCTGTGTGTCACCCCTAATTAAAATGGTCAGGGTACACACCTGTCATCTCCAAGAGCAGGACTAACTATCCATGGGGAAAAAGCAAAGTGATAAGTGTGGAAATTTCTTGAAGCCTCCCTGAGAGTCACCTGATTGTCCCAGGCATGAACTTTGACTTACTCTCCACACTGAGTTTGCATAACCCTAAAATGTTAGAGGTTAACTTGTAAAAAATTAAAAAGATGCTCTTGGTTTTCTGCCTGTGAGGGAAGGGAGTGGCAGGAGTCGAGCTCCCACCATCCTGCAGGACAGTAACCAGTCCGCACATTACTGGCCATCATGCTTTGCATTATTTCTCTCGCTGGCTGTAGAAACCCTCAGGTTATGGATTGAATTAGGCCCCCAAAAGACCTCTTAAAGTCCTAACTCCTGGGCCTATGAATGAGGCTGTGTGTGGAAATAGGGTCTTTGATGTATTATCAGTTCTGGAAAAGAGTAGGTCTAATCCTAAATGAGGAGCTCTGGTAGCATAGTGGCTAAGACACTTGCCTGCTAACCAGACGGCTGGCGGTTCAAACCCACCAGCCACTCCTCGGAAGGAAGGTTGGGCAATCCTACTTCCGTAGTGATACTGCCTCGGAAACCCAAGGAGGGGTCGCTATGAGTTGGGGCTGACTCGATGGCACATAACAACAACAACAACAACAATCCTAAATGCAGGGAACTCTGGTAGCATAGTGCCTAAGGCATTTGACTGCTAACCAGAGGCTAGCAGTTCAAACCCACCAGCCACTCCTCGGAAGGAAGATGGGGCAATCTACTTCCGTAGTGATACTGCCTTGGAAACCCAAGGAGGGGTCGCTATGAGTCGGATCCGACTCAACGGCACATAACAACAACAACAACAATCCTAAATGCCAACACTCGTCTGTCAGCATGTTGCACGGTTGTGGCTTGTGTGTTGCTGTGAGGCTGGAAGCTTTGCCACTGGTATTTCAAGTACCAGCAGGGTCACCCATGGTGGACGGGTTTCAGTGGCACTTCTAGCCTAAGACTAGGAAGAAGGAACTGTCTGTCTCCTTCTGAAAGCATTGGATAAAGAAAACCTTATGAATAGCAGCAGCATCTTGTCTAGCAGAGTGTAGGAGGGTGAACCTCTCAGATTGGAAGGCCCTCAAAATACAACTGGGAAGAACTGCATCCTCAAAGTAGAGTCAACCTTAATGATGTGGATAGAACAAAGCTTTCAGGATCTTCATTTGCTGATGTGCCCAACTCAAAACAGGAAGAAACAGCTGAAAGCACCCATTAATAATCAGAATGTGGAATGTACGAAGTATGAATCTGGGAAAATTGGAAGTTGTCAAAAATAAAATGGAAAGCATAAAGATTGATATCCTAGGCATTAGTGGGCTGAAATGGACCGGTTTGAGCCATTTTGAATCAGACAGTCAAATGGTCTACTATGCCAGGAATAACAAATTAAAGAGGAATGGCATTGCATTCATCATTACAAGGAACATTTCAAGATCTATCCTGAAGTTCAAAGCTGTCAGTGATAGGAAAATATTCACATGTCTACAAGGAAGACCAGTTAATACGACTATTAGTCAAACTTATTCACCAACCACTAAAGCCAAAGATGAAGAAATTGAAGATTTTTACTAACTACTGCATCTGAAATTGAAATATGCAATCAAAATGCATTAATAATTATTGATGCTTGGAATGCAAAAGTTAGAAATAAAGAAGGATCAGTAGTTGGAAAATACAGCCTTGGTGATAGAAATGACGCTGGAGATTGCTTGATACAATTTTGTAAGACCAACTACTTATTCATTGCAAATATTTTTTTCCAACACATTAAAAAAAAAAAAAAAAAACTACCATCGAGTTGATTCTGACTCATAGCAACCCCCATTGGATTTCTAAAACTGTAAATTTTTACTGAAGTATATTACCTCATCTTCCTACCATGGAGCAGCTGGTGGGTGTGAACCACTGACCTTCTGGTTAGCAGCCAAATGCCTTACCTACTACACCACCAACTACTATAAATGTGGACCTCATTAATGGAATACACAGGAATCAGATTGACTACATCTGTGGAAAAAGACGACAGAGAAGCTCAGTATCATCAGTCAGAACAAGGCCAGAAGCCAATTGCTTAATAGGCTATCAATTGCTCACACATAAGTTCAAGCTGAAGCTGGAGAAAAT